CTATAACACTGTTGATTATTCCGTTTTATATGAATTCCATGTTGTACGAGTCACTTAGATTTTACAAATACGTGAGCCGTTCACAGCCCGGCACAGGTATTTGTAAAATCTAAGTGACTCGTACAACATGGAATTCATATAAAACAGAAAAATCAACAGTGTTATAGTGGCTTGCCCCTATACATTATACTTTTCCTTTAAGAATAGAGCCATGCCGGTCATTTATCTAACACTTTTCGAGGAAAATTTTTTGAATTGAAATAACGTGACTTCCGTTTGCATATATATTTAAACTGGGCCTCCTGCTTCGATTAACTATTTGTGAATCAATATTTCCATATCTGGTCTCGGATTTCATTTATTTAACTCCATTCTCGAGATTAAGGAAAGACGTATCGACGGACGATAGTGGGAATTTATAGGTCTATAATTTTCTCAAATTGCAGTTCAAAAAAGCTCTGGCTCAGAGTGGTAGAATGGTGCTTTAATCGCCTCGATCATCTGGCTCTGCCCGTCATCATTTACAGCTATTGTTTAAAGAAAGTTGTTTAAAAAAGACAAGAATATTAATGACACAAAATAAATGATATTCATATAATATATATAAGATGAAAATATTCGTAACGCGCTCATAAGCTATTTTTCAGGTAAACATAATACTTGTATATTAATCAGGAAAATATTTTTAAACATTAATTCTGTGGTTTTAATATTCTTGTCATCTTTTAAAAAATTTTTCTTCTACATTCCTATTGAAATAATAATAATAATAATAATAATAATAATAATAATAATAAAGAAATGAGAGCGTTACGAGTATTTTAATATTATGTCTAAGTGCGCTAACTAGCGGAGTTAATCGGAACGAATTCTCTTTTTTTGCATCTCCAAAACGTGTAGGACTCTCTTTTCCGTACAAGGTAAAATTTGTAGAAAAATGTTCGGGGATTTACAAACTACTGAAGGACTAAGAAAATTAAATGACTATCTTTCTGATCGGAGCTATATAGAGGGGTAAGTAATATTAATTTCGACCGGATGAATTGCGATTTTTCGCTTATGATTTACATTAAGTGATCATATGGTTTGGTTTTGGTATACTGTATTATGTACTGTATATTATGTTTCAGGTAGAAGTTACTTTTAGGTAATTCCAACGTACAAAAATATATAGATATTGAGCTAAAAGTACCTTTTAACTTTGAGATTAGAATATTAATGCTATCAGTATGAAGATTTGTATCAAATTCATAGGCAAATACAGCAAATTCTACCATCTTTGGTAGTATTCATTTTGGTGTGTAGCATTGCTTTCTCAATTTTGGGTTATGGCAACATAGATGTACGGCTTTGCTTTGTCTCACGTTTTTTAGAGACATATATGATGGACTTTTGCAAAATACAGTGGAACCTCGGTATACGTCTGCTTTAGAATACGTCCTATTTGGATGAAACAAATTTTGCTCGGTATATGACTTTTGTTCGGTATACGACTTAATTCAATTATACGCGCCATCTATGAACAAGTAGCACTATCGGTGTACTATACTAGACTAGACATTCGCGGTGCTACGGTTTATAACTTTGTTAAATTTCTTCTGATTTGAATTTGTAAGTAACATTTTTATTATTTTTATTAATCATGAATTGCAAAAGATCAACAGAAAAATAAAAAAATGACTAGAATCACAACAGAACTGAAAAAAGAGATTGTTGAGAAATATGAAGGTGGCAAGTGTGTTCGAGATTTAACTGTTGCATTCCGTATTCTGAGAACGACGATATCGACAATCGTGAAAAATAAAGACATTATTAAATTTGCTAACGTTGCGAAAGGGGTTAAATCAATTTCTAAACAGAGTTCGAAGACATTAGATCATGTCGAGAAATTGCTTTTGCTTTGGATAACTGAAAAACAGTGTGCCGGCGACAGCGTATCGGAAGAAATTATTTGCGAGAAAGTTAAAAGGATACATGCTGATCTCATGAAAAATCAAGCAGAAATTAACCAGGAAAGCGAAGTGTTTAAAGCCAGCCATTTTTTTTTACATGAGAACGGATTAATCATTTTTAAATTACTTCTTATGGAAAAGGTTGGTTTGATATACGTCCTATTCGGTATAAGTCCAAACACCAGGAACGGATTAAGGTCGTATACTGAGGTTCCACTGTACATAGAATTGTGATGTTCGTAAAAGTGACACTGTATGGTCCACAAATGAAAAGGTACAAATAAAAGGCTCTACGACAATTGTATATTCACAGTCCTGTTCCTTTATTTCACTTTGAACAAAATTATAAAAAAAAAAAAAAAAAAGAATCCCAACTGATTTTATGACGAGTTACAATCACATACAATAAATTTCTGATAAGTGCGTACTTATGTCTAAATTAACTCTAACTTAATACTAATGAACAAAATGATGAAAGTAGAATAAAAGGAAAGAATGAGAAATGGGATGATTCACCCAGGATTTCTATATGTTAGGTTGATCAACACCGTGGGTAGGACTTGCTTCTTTTATTGTGACCTCTGTCTTCACGATCCTCTCTATTCCAATGTTCTTTGGAGCTCTTCATGACAGGTCCGACTTCCTTCGTGTCTCGTCAAAAACTCCTCTTTCTCTCCTGGCTGCTCTTCCTCAGGCCACCTTTCTATTGTCTTTCCCCGATTCTTAGAACCACTAATCCTACCCACAGGCGATAACGGTCTGTGGAAAGTTTTAGGAAACGAAAGAACAAAGAAACAAAGAAAAGGTTAAGACTTACAAAAAATAAAATTTACACCTATACAATATTATGGCCGACGGCCACATATGACCCCCCCTTAGGAGTCACACTCTGTAGTGCAGTCTACAGTAGTTGACTTTACATCCATGCGTATTACAGGGGTGTTGCGTTGCTTTATTAATAATCATCCTCAATACACCTTTCTCCGGCACTCTCATTCACGATTTCTTCCGTGTCCTGTGTGGGGGAATTTAGTACGGACCCTTTCCTGGATAATCCTGTCCTTAAGTAGTATGCGGAATCTTCGTCTTCTTCCTCATCTCTTTTGGGTGATTCTCTTCTGTTCACGTGCCGCAAGATCCTCTTTTTACATTCTTTATATATCTGAGCGTAACATGATTTAATCCAGTCGGTGTGTACCACCCATCTCTCACCTTGGCAGTTACTGCCAAGTTCAACAGTTACAGGACCCAACACTTGTACTATCTTATATGGGCCCAAGTACTTTGGAGAAAATTTTCCAGTACTCTTCCTCCTCCCCTTCCAGAGTAACCACACCCATTGTCCTTCCTCCCATAATTTTCTTTTCCCCTGTTTTTTAGGTTACATTGCCTCCCTAATTCATATGCGACTCTCCTAATTACATTTAATTTCTTGAAGAAATCGCATCCCCGATCCATGTTACGTACCCCCTCAATATCTTCTTCCAGGAAGGCACCCGGAAAACGTGGGTCGTACCCATACAACAAGAATACAGGGGATTCGTGGGAAGAATTGTTGTATGCAAACAGAGCTGAACCAACAAAATCGTCCCATTTCTGGTTATCCCCATCTGATATTTTTGCAATAATCTTACATAAGGTTTTATTTAAACGCTCACAGATGGAATTTGAGTAAGGGCAGTACACAGTCGTGACGTTATGTTTGATAGCTAACTCATCACACACTTCCCTAAAGATGCTCGACACGAAATTGGCCCCTCTGTCTGATACTATGACGTCGAGACACCCATATCTGCATATGATGTGATAGAAAAAACTATCAGCGATTTGTTGTGTGGATTGGTTTGGGATTGGGACAGCTTCAGCATAACGAGTGTATATGTCTACTATGGTAAGAATATATTTGTTACCCTTCGGGGTGGTTTGTAGTGGGCCGATAATATCCATCACAACCTTCTGGAGGGGAAACTCGGAAGTCTCTGTCTCCTGAAAGGGTGCACGACCCCTGTGCAGGTTGTGCTGCTGGCAGATCCTACATCTCTTGATTAAACTCTTCACACAACTTTTTAGATTCTTGATGTAGTAATATCTATCGATGAGGTTGCACGTTTTATCGACTCCCAAGTGCCCTGACGGGTGAACTGTGAAACTCCCATATTACCCTATCAACCATACCCTTGCCTACACACGCGTGGGCCCACTTTCTCAGCCCCATTTTGCCTGGTTTAATATGCATCATCACATCACTCTCCAATCGAAATTCCGGTTGGATCCCCCAATTGCTTCACCACAGTTATGACCCTTCAAGTTTTCCCTCATCCTCCTTAAGAACTCATCATTTCCTTGTGATTCTACAACTTTACTCCAGAGCTCCCTATTCTTGCTCACATTGTCACTCACATTCTCGGCCCTACTACTATTTACATTCATCTGTGGTAAAGCATCTGCCACCTCGTTATGTTTTCCTTTTATGTGACTTATTTGAACATTATAGTCCGCTATCTCCGCTGACCACCTCATTAACCTTTTATTGTGGTTGTTCATGTTACCTATAAAAATGAGGGGTTTGTGATCGGTTAGTAAATCAATTTGGTGTCCTAACACAATTGGCTTAAAATGGCATAGTGATAAGATTATAGCCAGACACTCTTTTTCAATTGTAGAATAGTTCTTCTCAGTGCCGTTAAACTTCTGACTAAAATAACCTATAGGGTAAAGTCTCCCATCCTCTTTCTGCCCCAATACTGCGCCTACGCAACTATCTGACAAGTCGGTAAACAATTGAAAGGGAGGGGCTTGAAAATTAGGATGTTTCAATAGAGGGGGTTTGACTAAGATATCCTTGAACCTCTCAAAGCTTTTCTGGCAGTTCTCGTACTATACAAATTTGCTATTTTTTTTTGTTAAATTTGTTAGTGGTAAGGCAATCTCAGAGAATTTAGGTACGAAGCCTCTAAAGACTCCTACCATCCCTAAGAAACTTCACACACCCTTCACATTCTTGGGTAGTTTCATACCAATGATTGCGCGTACATTTTCTATATCCGGACGAATTCCGCTCTGATTTATAATACGGCCTAAATATTTGACTTCCTTAACAATGAAGGAGCTCTTGTCGGGATGTAATTTCAGGTTTGCTCTATTTAGGGTGCTTAGAACCTCATCTAGTAATATGATATGGTCTTCAAGCGACTTTGAGAACAAAACTATATTGTCCTGAAAGACATAACAGTTAATCTCTACGAAATGGGCCAACATCCTCGACATCACCGCTTGAAAGAAATGGCCGCTATTTTTTGCGCCCTGGGGAAGACGACACATTTGGTATTTTCCTTAGGGGTTGAAAAAGCATACACGTGTCTTACAGAATGGTTTAAATTTATTTGGAAATAACCGGACTTCAAATCAAGCACAGAAAAATATTTACTTCCATGAAATTTGCTTAGTATTTTGTCAACGTGCACTATAGGAAACTCCTGAGCAGGAGTTAGTTCGTTTATCTGCCAAAGATCTAGGGTCATACTGATTTTGCCATTACCTTTCTCCACTGTGTGAATTGGCAAATTCCAAGTGGATGAATGAGCTCTCCTCTATTATTCCAGCAGCCAAATATGCGTTGGTCAGCACTTTTAACCCTGATAGGTGACACTTGGGGATACGGTATTGCCGTTTATTTATTGGCTTAGTCTGGTCTATTATCGGCTTGTGTGATTCACCGGTCATTCCAGTTAATTCTTTGACTGACCCTGCAAAGCATCCAGAGTGTTTCTGAAATATGTTATAGACCCACTCCTTTTCATTATCATTCAATCCTTCTAAACCTCTAATAGCTATCTGGGTATTATTTGAATATTCATCGTATATGCTTTTACCTTTCCCATGGCTGCTTGCGCTTTCCTCTATTGCCCTTCTCACACTATTAATTATTTCATACACTCTCCCGATTATGTCCATTTCCTTTTTTCAACATTTTCATCATTGAGAGATGTTGAAGGATGCCCAGAACTTCGCATGTGGAACAAAATAACAGTAAGAGAAACACAACACTATGCTTAAATGTAA